GTTGCTTTTTTTTTTTTTTTTTTTTTTTTTTTTTTGATTTTTGTCATTCCTAAAGTGGGATGAAGAGGATGACGGTAGGCACTGTGGAATGGAATTAAGGAAGTGAAAGCAAAGCTGTTCATTGAGTTGGCCTCTTGGCAGGAAGGTGTGCTGTGCTATGGCTTGGCCTCCTCATGGAAGGAGTGGTATCTATAGGATAAAGCCGACTGAATACAAAATCCCAGGCTGTCCTTTGGAGAAGCATCCAGGCTGCCCAAGGGCCTGGTCTTGTTGATTTAGGCTGTTTCCCAGCATCTTTCACARGTATCACTGAAATAGCAGCACTTGTTTTGCTCAGCTCTCAACATGTCAGCACGGAGACGTTTATTTGGAAATTTGGAGATGCTGAAAGACAGAGCAGGTGAGAAAAGAAGCCGTTGTGGAGCTGCTGGGTTTGGGCAGCTGCTGCCGCCATGGGGATGTCTTCAGGCMTGGCTTCGCGGTGCCAGGCATGAGCCACAGTGAGCAGCCATGCTCTGAAGCCTCCAGCAAGGCCGTGGATGGCAGGTCGGCCTGAGGTGATCGGTGTCTCTAGTGACGGCGACTTGGGAGAAAAACTGGGCAGTGAAGGGCTCTGCGGGGAGAGACGCCTCGTTGTGAGCGGGAAGGCCTTGCACAAAGCATGAATGCCTTGGAAGGGGACGACTTTGCAGAGTTCCAAGTCCAGATCTACTCCATATTCCCTGGGTGTCTGGACACCTCACAGGGTTGCTGGGCAAGACGTGRCAGGGGATTTGCCGTGGGCTCTGGCGCCACAGAAGCTCCTGCTCCCGCCTGCTCCTCGCTGGCCTCTTCTGCCACAGAGCTGTCAAAAAAGGCCAGGTTTGAAGCACTGGCTGCTGTTTAAAGCTGCCTCGGCTGGTTTCTGACAGCAGCAGGCTGGGAGCGGGCTGTGAACACGCTCCTGGCAAATGGGAACCGACAGGGACGCTYGTGAGATGGTGGGCACAAGCCCCCCGGCTGCAGCACCCTCGGCAGGCCTCTGCCTCGCAAGGGCGCCTGGCTCCAGAGTGAAGGACAGCTCGCTAGGCGCGGCTTGGCAGGCTGGATGGCCTCGGCTTAGCCTGAGGGAAAAGGCCGGGCTCTGAGGGTGCCGGCCTCACTTGCTGCTGCCACAGGAGCGCGTTGGCCCCCTGGTTGTGCCCTGACCTGGTTGCAGGGGATTGATGGTGTGGAGTGAGATGGAGGAGGCAGACAGCGGGGAGACTTGGGGTTTGGCTCCTCAGGCACGTGTGGCGGGGGACGCAGCTGTGGGAGAAGAGAGGAGGAAAATGAACATTGGCAGCTCTGTCCTTGTCGTGAGATGCATCAGCTGCGTGATGAGGATGGTCTTATGCACGGGACAAGGCAGTCTGTAAGGAGCCGTGCAGCAGGTGAGAGGGAGCAGGGTGCCCCTCGAGGCCTGAGCCGTTCTGACCCAAAACCTCTGCAAAAACCAGCTGGGTTCCCAAGGGGCTGTTGAGGTGGCTGGTCGCCGTGACCCAGCTGTGCTCTGCATCCGACTCCACTGTGGATTTGCTGAAGCTTTTTCCTCTTAGCAGGCAAAYTTGACAGCGGCACAAGCCAGAAAACTGTTAATACCTGCGCAGTCGTGGGSTTAGTAATGAAAAGATGAGAGCAGGACTGTGAAGGGGAGGATAGTCTCTCCCCAGAGCAGCCTCTGAAGCGTTCCTTGCGAATGGCAGTGTCACGGCTGGGCTGTTTAATGGCTGCACAATGGGACTGCGATGCTCTACAAGCTACTTAGCTAACTGCAGAGAAATGAAGGGGCTGCTGAGGGCCAGGACCGCATGGCAGCGCCGGGTACAGAGGGCAGCGGGGCCTGCGCTCGCAACGCCGGGAAAGGGGCTTCCCCGCCCGGGAAAGGGGCGGCCGGGCTGTCGGATCCAGCTCTTTCTGCATGGCTGAACTCCC